CTGGAATACCAGCCTGGCTCCAGCACTCAGGCTTTTCAGAACATTGGGCATCTTTACTAACTGTGGTAACATCTCAGCTGAGCTGACAAGGCACTCATATCTGCCTGGATGTCTGGCATTTTGCAATGAGAGGAGCAAGCCAGGACTGACTGAGAAGAGTCAAATTGAGGTGCTGCATTCTCAGAAGCAGAGTCAACCCCATGAGGAAATTACTTTTCTCAGCCTCTTTATTCTAAGTAATTTATTACTGTGGCTGAATGGAAATTTTTTTGGAGTTTACCTCACCACTCCACTAATCCTTTGGAAGAAGCAGAGGTGGTGGGATGAGCCATGAGGGACTCTGTTTATTTTATTTAATTTTGGAGTTTCATCTGGATTTTTGAAACTTTTCTGACTACCATCCTAAATATTTTCTTCCTGATGCTGGTTGTTCAAAAGGTCAAGTTCTCTCGGGCATGGAGCACATAGAGGTTTGGGGTTTTTTAAAGAACATTGGCTACTTGTGCCACACTCATCAAGTTTTAGAGCACAGGTCACTCCTTCTATCTGCTTTGGACTTATTCCAATCGGAGGTCTTTACAAGAGGGCAATATTGAACAGCCTGCCAACCTTTATCAAATGCTTTAATGCTTTCTTTAAACTAGCAGCTGGAGCAATTCTGTTGTCATTATTTAACTGTAACAACCAAAATTCTTTCAGTCTCGCTGGCCCTAGGGGTTACATTAGCAGAATGGGTGTAGAAATGGGGGGAAGAGGAATCCTTGGTTACTGCTGTTTAAAATAATGAGAGATCTTAGCATCACTTATTGCCTGTGCACAGAACAGGGAGAGGCAGCAGGGCAAATATACACAGCTCTGGATGCTGCTTTTTAAAAAATACTGTCATCTAAGGAGGTGTATGTACACCTACAGACAGATCCCTTGTGGAAGTTGTATGCTGAAGGGCTACACTTATGGTAGAAGTTCCTGTTCTTTTTCCCACCCTCGTTTCTCCCTAAGGTGTCTTGCTTACCCAGCCTGTTGGTCGACTGGGTGATTTTGTTGACCCACACTTTTAGCAGGGTAGAAGTCCTCTGGAGAATCCGGGTCAGTCCTGCCAATTTACTTTGACAAATACCGTTCCTTTCATTGTGAATACAAACTAGCTGGAGATCCATTTTTAAGTCCCACATGAAGTGGCGCTTTGAGCAATGTAAAAACCTAAAGCAGGAACTTGACAAGAAGCCAAGTCAAGAAGCCAGTTCTGAGAATTTGGACTTATAATATGTTTGGGGTTTTTACAATTTGTGTTACTTTATGAATACAAGTTAAACCCAGGAAAGGTTAGCTTTTACTTTGTTTTGTTTAGTGCTGGTGCTGACTGTATATGTTGGAGTAGTTACTGCTTGTGAATTCCATATAAATATACCAGCTGTTGTACACTGGTAGTACATTCTGAATTATTTCTTTTTTATTTAAAGAATTAATTTCTGTACTGGTTGATTTACTATGCCTTATGTACTGTTATCTGGTAAAACTAATGCTTTAATGTAAAAGGTGCTAGTGTGCTGTCATGTCCTCTATGATGTTTGCTCGCTAAAATCTTGGCTTCAGAGTAGCAACTGTCACAGCACTGTTGAAAAAGTGTGTGTTGCTGATTAGCAGATGCTTAATGGTACTATATCTGTCTTTTAAAATATCGTATGCTAGTGACAGACCTATTTTTAGTAGAAGTCACCATTAAGTAAGTAGCAATGGTGTGGTAAGGTAACTTTAATATGCTCATTTTTCCAGAAAAGAGGTCTCCTCCGTTTTAAAATACAGATAACTGTTTTAAATAATATGCTGTCCATATAACTAACCTTAAGTAAAATAAAATGCATACTCTGCTATTTATTAGATTTTTGTGCTATCACTCACTGCTTTTGCACAGCCGGTGTTCAATGCTGTATGACTAAATTCTTCATATCATCTTTGTATTTGGCAGGTCAATATAAGTTCTGTTGAAACAGAAAGGGGGGAAAGTGCAGGGGAGGTTGTTCCAGAATTAAATAAGGGCCTTGCAGAGAACAGGCTTAGCTTGCTATGTTATGCAAGGTATATAACCAAAATATTTTCAAGAAAACTTCAATTAGGTATTTTTTCCTCATTTTGGGAGAGAGAGGTGGAAAAAGACTTACTTTAAAATAAAAAAAAAAATTCTCCACAACAGTCCTGTCCCATTTCATTTGGGGTGCAGTAAAAACAACAAAAATACGACATCAGGTAAAAGTTGTAAGCCCAGAAATAAATAAAATAAGAGCATCAGTCATTTCTATCGCTGGGGAACTTTCTTCATCTAAGCACATATGAACAATTGATCCTTGTAGTCATATATAGCAGTAAACATTAATAACTTAACAGTCTGAAGTCAGTGCTGAAGATATGGAGCATTATTGAAAGATGGAGTCGGGCAGGTGGCACTTTAATATGTTCAGTGTCATGGTTGACTCTAAAGACTAGTAGAATGAAATTACTTGAGGTTCTAAAGATTTAAAAAGCGAACTCATTTTGCTGCACTAAGGAAATGCTACTGATCGGGCTTTCTGTGTCCCTTTTTTCTAGGCTAGAAAATATTAACCCTGAAGAAAATGACATGGTAAGCCATTCTCTGAGGAGATTTCTTGATGTCAGTCTTATATCTTAGAGGCTTAAGTTCAATTGAGTGGGTTTCAAGAACTAAGATGTGGGAAAAAGAAGAATTGACACACTAATAATGTACATCTTTGCTGCAATATGAAAATTCAATAACTTCACTCAGTCAATTTACAATTCACATGTGCCTATTAATTAAAACCCTATATTAAATAAAATATATTAAAACTTCATGTCTGACTAACATATAATGCTGTTGGTAGACATTACAGGAATTACTGAACAGAATAAACAATGCAGACACAGGGATAGATATACTGAAGAATGGAGCTATAATTCTGAATCGAATACACAGGACCAAAGAACGTAAAAAGAAAATAATAGCTGAGGAAATGAATGCAGTAATAGAACAACGGGATGCTGCTTTGTCTCAAGTAAGTCTCTACAAGTATATAATCACTCAATACCAAATTTCTTTTTTTCTTTTTCCTTTTTTTTTTTTTTTTCCTTTTACTTTTGGGGTAAAAAATTATTTCATTTGCTTTTCCCTGCTGAAAATCTTAAAGAGAGCCCTTGTGGTAAATGGCTGATTAATGATCAGCTGTTTCTTCACGGTAGGAATACCCATTGAAATGACATCAGTGCGTTTTATGAGAAAAGTTATTTTTGTATTTTTTGCACTTGATCACTAGCTGTCTCCTTTTTTAAAACAAAATAGTTTTCAGTGTATTGACCACTCTAAAAAGCTGTTAAGGACTTCGTTTTGCATTATGCCGTATTAGTATAATGACAGTTAACTGGGACTCAAGGATTTGTAAAGAGTTATAAGTGGCAGAAATATACGTTAAAGGAAGATAACGGTACCACACGCAACAATGCAAACAATTCCTCCCTTTGTTGATTTGCATTCAGGAGATAAAAATCAGCATGTGGTCCTTGACTCTCAAAGTCTTACACTTCTGCTACATGACTTGAAAGAACCTGAGGTCCTTTTTCTGCTGAGATTACTCATTCCCTGCAATTTCCTATTTTCACAGAACACTATTGTCTTCATTCTGTTTACCATGAAGAGAGTCTCCTTGCTTTTCCCATCTCATGGAAGAGTTTCTCTCTTGTTTTTTTCTTCCCCACAGTTTTCTTTCCTGGATTTTAACCTAGATTTAGCTCAATAGGAACAGGCTGTAGGGAGGAGCAGTCCAAGTAGGGGATATATCTCTTGGGAAAACACAAGATTTTAAACTGGATGAAACTCCTTATGTATTCATCCCAGGCAAGAAATTTCATCTGACTCTTCCAATATTGAAAACTTAGATTTTCAATGTGAGTTACCGAAGTTAGCCCACATCTACCTAATTTCTATTAGATTTAAAGTCAGGTTTGTGATCTTGAGTGTTATTGATAGCGTTGATTGAATTTATGTTGTATTGAAAAGTCTCCTGGTAAGAGAGTCCCTTCTACACACCTTGTAATTTTCACTTTTTTGCAGTCGTCGTTTTTGCATTCTCTCCTACTTTAACCTTGAAAGCCCCATCTGCCTGGTGCTTAAAATATTTGTGTGCCTATCCAGTATGCACTGCAAAGGATGTTAATGTTGGAAGATGTTACTTTTTCAGTCTACTTTCTTTTGCTTTTATAATAATGATGAGCAGCATAGCTGCTGGGAAACATCCAACAGTCCTGCCAAAAGTTTATGTTCTTTCGTCTTTGCACAGGGCATTCAAAAAGTGAGCAGCTTATAAGAGAAAAGCTTTCAGCAGAAGAGAAAGATCTTTTGATATTTTTATTCTTGTTTTGTCATTTTTTGCTTCTTTGTTGGAGTGGACTTTCAGGCATACTTGGACCATAAAACTGTTATGAATGTCAGAAGAATGTTGTGGGGCATTTTAATATACATATTAATTGAACTGATTTTTAAGCTGCCTGTTTAAGGAGGAATCTTTTCCAAGTAATCAGCTTGGAATTAATAAAGATAATTATTTTATACAGTAATGGCTCAAGTGCCACAACTAGCAAAGCCATATTTAGGCCTGTCAGTAAAAAGCACAGGTAATGTTAAGCAGACAGTGCAGCTGGAAAAAAAAAAAAAAAAAATCCCCATCAAATGAAAATTTAAATGGAATTAAGCTGTACTACTGTGATACCATTTTCAATTTATAATACCATTGTTCTAAATTAATTATTATTAATAGAACTCTATTGATCATGTGGTGTGTTTTCACATATGTGATGCTTTTACGGCTGTAACTCTTGAATGTAGAAAATAGGTCCTTGGAATTGAAGCTACCATTTCAACTTGCGTTTCTCACTTGATGATTCCTTGGGAATTCATACCGTACTTGAATTATTAGTAGTCTTTTGTTAACATTGCCATAGCGGTAGTTATTACAGTGCTAACAGCAAGAACAATAGGAGAGGGATTCCTACATTAGACCACAAAGGGACTAGATATAATTCAGGGGATGTATATGCTTAGCATAACAAATGCAAATTATTGGAAGTTAGATCTGAGGTCGTCTCAGGCATTCATAACATCTGCAAGTTAAAATCTTTTTCTTTTTGGTGGAGGTGACATCAAATGTGAGGGGGGGAATTGATGACAACAAGCTGAGACAAAACAGAAATAGAGTAAACCATTAGCATGCTGTGGCTATCCTCTGAAAAAGGCATTTTTAAAGTTCTGAGGGTACTGGGCAATAGAAGCTAATGCTTTGTGACACATTGTGTGAACACCATGCTGCTCTGTTCCTGCTTGCTGTTGTGCAGTGCTGGAGACAGCAGAGTCATTTGAGTGACCACCGTAACTGGTTCCCTATGACAGAGAACTGCCTACATGATAACAGGGGTTTGGACTGACTGTGTTTAATGAAGCTGCAGCTGTTATTCTTCTTTATGGTTTTCTTCACAATAGCCTATCACTTGACAGTTGAGCAGAGTGAATGTAAGTAGTATCTAGCTTTTGGGGTTTTACTTGTAGGATTTATGATTTTTCTCAGTAAGAAACAATAACACAGCCTTCAGAGCTTGAACACATTGCTTTGATTTCAAGTGAGGAATAGGTTACATTCCTAGAGAATGGACATTCTATAAACTGTGTCTTTCCTATGACCAAGTAAATACAAATTACTTTCAATTAGTCTTTGAAATGCAGTTTTGCAATACTTTTTCTGGTAGTTACGCTATTAAGTTGCATTTAACTGGACCGCTGTTGCAGCATATTTGACAATGGTTAGCTAGGTGTGATTCTTCTATTTGAATTTTACTTGAATAATTTTTTTTTTATTCTTCAAAAAATGAAGAGTACTGTTCATGTCTTGGAAAGGTTCTGAAAATGTTTTTTTGAGCTGTAACACCCAAGAACCTCTGCATATTTTTTTGAGATTTCAAACGTGTATGTTACTTCTTACTAGGAAGCAGATAGAGGCACTTCTATCACTGTATTGAGCTGTGCATGTGTATGTAATCCTAGATCATTCACTAGATTGCTGAGCAAATATGCAAACTACTTTTTGTATGTGTGAAAACAAATAAAATGGTATAAACTCAAATATTTGATACTACTTTTAGTATGTATTTTCAAGTGAATAAAAACCAAACAACTAAAGCATGGCTAAACATTGACATCCATCTTCTCCTGTACCAACCCCCTTAAAAAAACAAACTCAACTGTTTGGTTGTATTTGCTAAGGTATGTTTGTTAGTGAACAGTGTTATACTGGGGAGCTTGAGTCTGTTTTATGACTGATCCTCTGAAAGGATAATGGAGAAAGATGCTGACTGTCATGAGAAATAAAACATCAGTTTCTTGTCTGTAATGTTCAGTTTTGTCTTAACCCATTCAAGGAAAAAAAATATTTGTCCAGTTGCTTGTACTACAGTTCTGCCTTTCTACAAAAATCTTTCTTGCTTGAGTAATCCAATTAGTGACAGACATTTAATAAAGATTACATATGGCATAGTCACATTGTGTAATCTACATAAAATACTTTAAAGAAGTGGTTTCCAGCAGGAGGCAATACAGTGCAATGTCTCAAACTAGCAACCACCTATTAACCACATCACACCTTATGGACAGGAATGTTAATATGATTACAGGGTTGGCAGCTGAAGCTGAGGACTTGAGTAAGTCATTACAATTACTTTTCTTCTAGTTTAGAGAAAGGGGACTTTTAAATTGGTACAGCTTGAAGGAAGTGATTTTTTTTAAAGCTAAATAAGGGATGGCTTATAGTTCAGGAGATCATGTATTTGATATGTTTTCAGTCCTAACTTTCACTCTGTAAATTTTTTTTTTCTTTTAATTGGGAACAGTCAATTCTATACAGAGTTTTAAATATTAAAGGTGTAGAATTTGTTGTTAAGGAAAAACAGTAGTTTCATGGCTGGCAAAGTATCGTCTGTAATACACTGATCTTGAAGTAATAACATAACTGGCAAGCAAACCTGGTTTTACAGCTTTGAATAGTTTGATCACATCCTGCTGTGCAGGAACATGCTTATGACTGCTCATGTAAAAAATTGGCGTGCACCCAGTTGCTCATCTGAAGCAAGTTTAAGTACTTTTCTCCATTTTGAGGCACTGTTTGGCAGCAGGCAGCACTTTATCGTCATCGAAAACAAAGATGAGAAGCACTATGCTTGACTGCCCATCATTATCAGTTTCGACTAATGACTAATAACTGATAAATGTCTGTACTTACAACAAGCCAGCTTCTTGCTAACTTTTTTTTTTTACATTCTGCTCGAGCAATTTCCCTCCTTTTACACCAAATAAGGTGTAGAGCTCTGTGTTATCTGTGATTCACAGAGCATTAAGGCATTCTCAGCACACATGAGTGAACGGGTCTTATTGAAGCAATAAACCCAAGAGCTGTATGAAGTGTAAAACCAACAAAAGCATATGTAAATGCAAAAAATTACTTACAGATCTTGGGCCCTTAATTGGGGAATACTCAGGTGACGGGTTACAATGCCTCATCCTCATGACTGTCTTATTTTAGGACAGAGGTGATCCTTTTGCAACCCAAACCACAGTTGGGGATGTTATTTTTAGTAATTTGAATTAGCAGTTCAGTTTTAAGCTCTGTGTTTTGGTACCCTTTGACACTTCCTGGTTAAGGATACCAATCGAGTTCTTGGTTGGCAGGAGCACATTTGACAGTGTCCTCCTAGCTGCTCTGCCGGGGTGCTTCCCCTACTACCTTCTCCCTTTTGCCGCTGATATTTGGGAACAGGAAAAGAAAAGGTAGGACACTACCTTTTCCACACCACATCTTCACCACACAGTTGTTTGTGAACCAGGCAGCTGCTGTGGGGTACTGGTGATTTTGGTCACAGGCTTATTTGAGGAGGGAGGTGAAGGTAGAGGGGATGTTTATTGTAATTTGAGGATCCAAGGACCACGCTGGTTCACTCTTATGGCTGTTTTCCTTTGGGC